TGAAGGCCGGGGAGGTTTTAAGGCCGGCTGTGTCAGTGTCACTATCGGGGATCAGCACAGAGAGCAGTCACAGAGATCAGCATGGCTGTGAAGCTTTGTGTGTGTTTTACCTCAGGCTCAGACTGAGGCGGGAAATCTAGACTCGGCTGTAGTCACAGAAAACACCACTAGGGGGCGCATGTGACACATTGCTGTGATGAGGGAGCACATTCCAGGTCATGTGACACATCACTGTGAAGAGGTAATACATTCTAGGTCATGTGACACATCTCTGTGATGAGGGAGCACATTCCAGGCCATGTGACACAGGTTATAGTGATGCCGCCCATTCCCTCTGCCAATAAACAAAGAAGTCCCCTGCACACCATGCAGCACTAAAGACCAAAAAGTAATGGTGGTGCATGTAGTGATGTCCACGGACAGCGTTGTACGTATCCAAAGTAAACAGCAATGATAATCACCAGCACTCAAGAATTAAATAAATACCAAAAATGAAAATAAAACCTAAAAATGTAGGTTTTTTTTTAAGAGAACTATGGCCCAACCTTGTTTGTTCTTAGTTCTCTTTATGTAACTATGTCCTCCTTTGACCCAAAACTCAGCATATAAAAGGGCTATTGCACGCTATTTGCTGACAGCGCAGAGCTACGCTGCAGCAGGGAAAGTTTCCGACAATATTGTCAAGATCCACCACCACCTAAATGACAGCTGGCAATGCCTCCAGCATTGGAGGAATGGAGAGAAGGAATCCCTGACAGCCACCATTCTCTACAGGGAGAGTGAGCGAATCAGCTCAATAGAGCCGACGTGTGACAGCTTCAGTGTTACACATCGGCTCTTATTATGGGGATGAGTGTGTTTCACTCATCCTATAGGGGTCTATTCACGACGCTGCGGAAGGATCTAGCCATAGCTTCGGCCGATCCTTCGGTTACGGGAGTCCATCGGTTAATTCGAACCGAGAGCCTGCTGTACGGGCTATTCACAATAGCCCGTACAGCTCCTGAACATGGCCGAGCCAAACGCATATGCATCGGCTCAGCCGTGCTGAAAGCCGAAGCTGGCCGAGGGGCCGGCCACTCAGCCTGCTGTTGACAGCTGGGCGAAGCCAGCCGTGATCTTACGGCTGGCTCCGGCCACTTGCAGTGAGATCAGCGTCCCTGGTTAACTGCTAACCAGGGACACTGATCTCCAAACAGCAAACTCTCCCTGGCGCCCCGGGAGTCTCCTGCTCCCGGCCGCCAAGGAGAGAAACAGTGCTGTGCCTTTTTTTCTTTATTCTGACACGATCGATGTCAGAATAGAAAAAAAAAAAAA